AGAGTCATCACCTTCTGGGTGCTTTGGAGCCAATGAGAAGCAAACCAACCGCTGGAGCATGCTGGAACCGGTTGAGCTCAGCCTGGTCACATTAGGTAAAACCAGCGCACCAAAAGGCAAACAGGCAAAACCAGTGACTCGGGAGGCCGCAACGTCCTGAAGTGTGTGAAGTGCAAATGGTCAGTCAACGTCACACCTGCGAGTTCGGGCATCACCGTTGGAGGCGCTCCACATGTGCTGGAGCTCGGGCAGCTACAAAAGTGTTTCAACCGTCCTATTCTGTTCAGGCACGCATGGTAGCTAAGTTATGCTATCCAGCAAGTAGCACTTCGGGTGTCTAGCGAAGCTGGTTATTCATGCTGGTACTGTACTTTGGGTGTCCCCAAGTAACGCAGGAATCACTGAGTAGCGCAGGCCACTTGTCCGCAGGCCTGAACCCGCCAAACTATGTATCCTGAAGCACAACATGAATGAGTTCCAATGTATCCAATGTATCATCAGTGGTATCAGCTTGTATCAGCTTGTATCCATGAGTTCCAGCTTGTATCATCAGTCAGGTACAACTTGATGGTCCCTGTTTTCATCTTTGATTCTGCTTCCAATCTGCATTTGAATGAGCTCACCCAGAGGTGCCCAGCCAGGCACGCCATCTTCGAATCGTGTGCCCAGCCAGGCCTGTGACCAAGGTGCTGCGCCAAACAAACTTCCAATATTGCCACCTGAGATGAAATCCCAAGAGCAATGCTCCTGGTGTCTTTTGACCAGTGACCAGTGCACACAATTCAACAAATTGCCAACAGTGAGCTAGCTGAGGGGACGGGGTGACCATGTTGCTATATTATATATATACATATATATATATATATCCGTGCAAATATACTACGTAGATTTGCTTGGGATTCATACAATTACAACAGGTGGCTGGAAATCTCTACTCTTTCCACGCATCTCTTCATCGCCGGAAGCGCACATGATGCATGAGACAGGATGGCGTGGATGATGCGTAGGTTTCTTTTGAACGCCTCCCCCTGGCTCTGGTGGTTATTTCCTGGCAAATACATACCATCATGTAGCGTGTATACTGTATACTGTATAACTTAGATTCTGCAAGCACGGTCCTGTGTCCATCGGTCGCACCTCTCCCCTGAGGCCGTTCCAGGTATCGGACAGCTGGTCGCCACGGACCACCTTGGTGCAAGCGACAAGCGCTAGGGACCTTTGGTTGGTTAGTCCTGAAATTATGAAAGCCAAGTCAAGAGATGCCAAAAGGGGTATTTCGGAGGCACAACCCAGATCATTTTGTCCAGCGAGTTCAGCGGCTTTTGGGTATATACCTGCGCCACCCTGGTGTGACATTGTAATGTTGCTTCGTGAAAATGCCTTCTTTGTCGTAGTTTGATAGAAAACGTGTCGATCTAAAAACTATTGTCGTTTCACATCGATCCTTCAATTAAGATGTGTATGTACTTAAAACGCGTATTTTTTTGGCTGCTTTTTGCGATGTGTTGTGTCGTTTGAAGATCGGTTTTCTGCTCGCTTTGGGGAAAAAAA